CGGTGAATTTTAATATTGAAAGCGCAGTTATATTCAAACACAGGACATTTATTTTTAATTTATAGCGCAGTTGGGTGGATATAAAAGTATACCACACTCGTGTTTGCCACTCGTGTAATCACGTATATAATATCTACGGACTTGCGTGACTCGAGTGTTACACGTTCCGTCGCAAAAAGATTTACGTTGTCTAACAATGATGGGTATTTAATTGATGGTTTAAAAAAAAAAAAAAAGGAAACACTGCTCGTTGCAACGTAAAAACAGTATATTCGATTGGAAAAAAAAAAAAAAAAAAAAAAACGCTCTCCTATTGGATGTTATTCAAGGTCGCAAGTTCACACCTACGCGCAGTTCGGTTTCACCTATACATTTCACATATTGCATTAATTTAAAATAGGAAGGAAGAAAAAGAAAAAAGAAAGTAGCAGCACTCACGTGTTCTCGTTGGTGTGATTGAAGTACCCGCGCACTTGGTCGCATCCCTCGTCCTCCGTGTTGCCCATATTGCCCCGTATCGAGTATATTAATTCCACAAACTAAGTTTCTACCATCTTACAGGTGTACGCAAGGTGTGTGGGTGTGTTCGCTGGGTTTTTGCAAAATTGTCGACACACAACAGTTCTGAGCACGAAAAACAAAGTGCATGTATACCTATGCAGCGTCCGGTTAAAAGATGTTCCTGTACGATATTAGGATGAAACGCGTGTCCCTGTACTTTGTGAGCGAGATAACCGGCGTTGGGTAAGAACATCGGGGCGCATGCCGAGACGCTCAACGTGCACTTCGATCCGTCCCGGGATCATGCGGGGGGTTTTATTGTACGTGGACAGAGGGAGAGAGATAGGGTCGGGGATGACGTAACTTGTGTATACATCTGTAACAGTTACTGATGGCTGGTGTTTTCGTTGGGATGTGTCTGTGTGTGCTACATGTGGAACCACCGTTGCGGGGGTAGACCGGACGGGTCGTGACATCTTGCCACGTGGCTGCTGAACTTATCCAGAGGGGATGATTTGTACTTTCTACTTTGACGACGCGGCTGGTTCGATTGATTTTTTTTTTTTTTTTTTTTTTTTTTTTTTTTTTTTTTTTTTTTTTTT